CCTCAGAGCTTTCATTGTAGATAATACTGTCCCTTAGGTATGTGGTTCCTTGTTCTGTGGATTGAGCATCTCTCTGACTGTCTGCAATTGACAGCAATAGTTTTGGGCTGTCAGATGTGTTGTTGGTTCCAACATGAAGAATTACCCCAGAAACATTGTACTTTGCTGAGAGATGTATGATGTTGGGTGCAAGGTCTTCAATTTTGCTCCACACATCGTATGACTTGTATGTATGAGATCACTTTCTTTTGCCTGTGCAGCTTCCTGGGCTGTAGCCGTTTGATCATGGAGTCGCCGATGACCAAGACATCTGCATGGCAGTTTATATTAGGTGTAGCCACTATCCTTGTCAGGTTAGACAGTGGTTGTCCTTTGCAGCAATCTGTTCCTTATGCTTTCTGCGGTAATGTGCCAGCTGCGCTTCAAAGGAGGCATTTTCTTTCAGGGAACGAGGCTTATTTGGGGTTGGGGGTGCAGATGGTCCCCTCTCCTTGCCAGGTTGGGTGTTTGGCTGCAAGGCTTCGAAGTACGAATCGATCAACAGCTCGGCCTCAGTCATCATTGGTAGAGTCGTGATCGTCCGCAGTGCTGTCGGTAATGATGGGATCGACCTCGACAGTCAATGCAGTAAAGCGATTGTTCGTGGGCACCACAGGAGTGTCTTGCACTGCTGTATCTGACTGTCCTGTTTTTGCACGAAGGTGGTTCTGGCTCAACATACAGGGTGGAAGCTCTGAACAGACACTACCTCCGTGAGGGGGCCATTAGCATATCAATGGTAGAGCAAAGGGCATCACATTTCTTCCTCAGTGCATTGATTATTTCCCTTTCAGAAACACAAACAGAACAAAATGGTCAGAAAGTGTCAAAATTTGGTCTGAGAATTTACGTTCCAGTAACTTAATGTCAGCCTGAAGCTGGGAAGTTACACTAAAACTGAGGTTTAGGGTGATAGGCTCTGGTGGGACAGGGTCGGGTAGCCCAATAACATCGTCTTTTGTGATGACATCTGCTATTGTGGCTTGCCTCCGCTGTTTGGCTTTGACATGGCTATTAAACTGAACTAGGGCAAGGCTGGAAATTACTACCATGGCCAAATTTGTAGAGATACAATTCCTTGATGTCATCAGCTGCTGTGGTTATAGATCTACAGGCTTTTAGGGTGAAATTACAAGTTGAAATGGTACGTAGCTTTTGTGTTGTAGATGTATCACTCGCCTTGGCACCATCTCGTTGGATCCTCTTGTCGCAGTGCTTCTCCTTCACAGACTCAAATACTACTTTCCTAGCTTCCAACAGTTCCGGTAGAGATCCGTCAGCATCCAGGATCATTCCCACTCCAAATCTGGCTTGTGCTTCACATGGGGACACCGAGCCCTTAGGCCTACTCCGACTTTGGGGCTTTCGGCCCCCCTCTATCGATGATCCCCTTCCGGGAGTCTCTGTGCCCGCTTGTCATTCTCTGGCTCCGGTTCAGCAGGACAACTCTCCGGCTCTTTCTTCCAGCAAAGAGGCTTACTGAGCGCTCTATGCCCTCAACCACTGCCCTCAGTCTTTCTTTATTTAAGGGACATTCTGGCGTGGGTAGATGCTACATTGTACATGCTACTGGGCCATCCCCTGCCGTAGCCAATGTGGCCTTGGTGGACATAATATGGGTAACGCAGGCAAGATCAAGACCACAACGCAGATAGCCGGTCTGCTTTGCTGTTGAGGCCTTTATACACCTGTCTGTCGTCGCTATGTTTATGACTTGGCTAACCATTCTTTGCATGCTTTCAGTCATGCAGTAGGAGCTACTCTCTACTGGGCTACCCTACATGTACATAGTCTTCCTGGGTGGCCTCCGGTGAATATGACACCGAGTCATGTACACTTAGCGTGAGCCGTGGCTGAAACAACTCCTTTCAATACGCTACGTATCAGTGCCTTAGCCATGAAACAGAGAAGTGCATTATTCCCTTCAACTCCCCTTCACTCCCTGGGCTGTTCTGGTGAATATGGCTTAGTCTAGGTATGGACAGCCTATCGGGTGTAACCTTGCACAGGATCTGCGGGATATAATTCTGCGTTATGCTCGCAGACCCCTATGACCTCCCCACACCTGATCCCACTGCCTTCGGAGACTCTGTCATTGGGGAACCGAGGTGTGTACTTGTCAACAGTGAGCCACGGGCATATTAAGCACTGCCCTCCATTTTCTGGCCCTGCCCTGGTGGTTGCGCCGTTTGTATGGTCCTAGTAGTGCTTTCTCCAATCCACATCCGTGTTTTAGGCATCCAAATTCACCAAATTTTACACCGCAGTGGATTCCAAATGCTTCCTGTTAGCCAGATGCGAGATCCTCTAATGTGGGCGTGGCCAAGTTCATATACTGTCACTGGTTACAGGGTCCGACAAGAGTTGGTCTACCGTCAGCCACAGTTTTTTGTTGTGAACGCCCTTCGGGTTCCCTCTTCCGATTATGACTGCGTAATTGATACGAAGAGGTATACTTGGCAGGGTTTTGTCTCATTTTTATATTTGCGTATAATTTGGAATATCGGAGTGGGTTTTCATGTCCACTGTTCCGCTAGTAAATTTGTGCCCGTCAGGCAGGACCAACATTGGTGACTGTTTTATTTCTCACGGGCGCTCTAGTGGATAATAAGTTTTCTCTCTTCGGCCAGATTCATGCACTGAGACTTAATTCCCTGTGCATGCAGTAAAAATTGCTGGAGTCCTTCAATAAAGGAACATCTGCAGCTATTCTATATATAAGACAAGACAAGATTTTTTCATTCCCCAGAAATGCTGAACCGACATTCGCATGTGCTGGAGCTGTTCATTGTCGCAAGGTGCAACTTCCATTGAACTTAACTAGTCTTCCGGCAATGACTCCTTGCTCTATAAAGATAGTCAAACCTTCATTTATCTGGGCCACTTGGAGTTTTCTCCCGTCTCCAACTTTGTCATTGTTCATAGCTTATCAGAGTACCTTCCTTATGGCTTGACAGCATTTTTCCCTGTTGTCCAGCCCTCACTGCAGTCATACTTGGGGTAAAACAAAAAAAAAAGTTTTCATCTCTTTCTGGATAATTCATGACTGCCACATTTTCCTGTCTATCCACACTTACACATAAGACTTTGCTCTGGACGGGTGTAGTAAAGTTCCCACGTGAAAGGGTTAATTTAATTCCACCCATCTATAGACAGGAGAAACCTGTTGCTAAACTTACCGTTTTTTGTGAAGGATTTGGAGGAGATACAATTGGAACAGTTCTGGTCCTCCTTCCCTCTCTAATTTTTTTATGCACTGGCCATCAAGTCCTGCTCTGCCTTGTCAATCTTCACCAGCAGGGCTTGGGCATAGACCAGAGGGAACTTTGACACTGCCCCCCTCCCCTTAGGTCTAAGGCTAACAGTTACATTGCTTTGCAATGCCCAAATTTCAAGGCACTCTCTACAGTAGCAAGGTTCTAGCAGATATTTACTCAGTCAGATGAATACCTTTGTCCGTTCATTCGGCTACCCTCTCAGTGTCATGGTTTCCCTTTGTTTGGCCGGGGTCTTTATTGGATTCTTACCTTCGTTGATACAGGTAACTGTTTCATGTGCATTGGTTCCTGTCACAGCAACTTGACTCCTGTTAGGTTCAATCCAATCCTCCCATCTTGGCTTTTTATCCCACGTGCATATCTTCGGCCCAAGGACAAATCCACAAAACCTGATAGCTCTTGCCATCAAGACACATTTTGTCAGCAATTGAAACGATGATGGGCCCTCAACTACTGGCCTCTACTGGCACTTTTTGATCTTCATGGGGCACTCCTGTTCCCGAACTTTTAAAGTTCAGGCACAGAAGTATGTGGGTTAGCACATTGTCACTTAATCAGATAAATCACTGTGGAGGTACACTAATACTACACCTCAGCCTCCTGAAAGTTGAATGTTCCGATGAGCCATAGACTTTGGGATTAATACCTGAAGTTAACTGATGTCTCGAAGCCAATAACTCCTTTACGGACGTCTGCTATGACGGTACCCGACCGTCTGTATATTACCGGCTCTTGCTTTGACGTGGAACATCTTATTGCTGTTATTCTGCACCAGACTCCGAGATTCCTCGGGTAACATTTATACGGGAGTACACAGTTCTCCATTTTCATGACATGACGAATATTGTGAACTCCAATATGTGTAGTATCCGATTCTCTTCGGGTTTCCTGTGATAGAGATTTTTTGAGAGCCTCGTTTTGAAACCCATACCACATTCACCTCCTGTTACCTCGAAGATGTTTGCAGGGGGGCCATACAAATTGACTAGGCTGGACGGCATTGCAGTTGCTCCATTGCGGACCATCCTCTTCCCTTACAAGAGAAGGCACTCAAATAGTCACTTTAAGGTGTCGAGATACTAGTAGAGCGTACTTGCCTTCCCACCGCCCCTTGGTTTGGTGCTACTCTGCATATGTATTGGTGATCTGCATAGGTTGCAGGCAGTAGACTCTCCCTCCACCTAATGTGGGTTGAGTCTACATCTGCACACCTACCAGATTACCAATCTCCGTCCTTCCTCCCCACATGGCCTCGGCGCACTTCGCATATCGAAAAAGAGGAAAAACATGGCTGATGCCTGGGGGGGGGCAAATGAGTGGAGGCGCACTATTGGTGATAAAAAATTTACCGAATGGAAGTAATGGACTAGGAGATAATGCATATGTATTGGTAATCTGGTAGGTATGCAGAAGTAGACTCAACCCACATTAGGTGGGGGAGAATTTCACGGAAGAGAGGCTTGAAATGTATGCCAGTGGCATAGCAAAGGAAAAGAGGGCATCCCCTCATTTGCATTGTAGTCCTGTATTTTCATGAACGTACATGTACTGTATGTGTAAACTCTCTGGTCAGCCTACGCTTCCCCCTCCTTCAATGAAACCTCTTATGTTAACATGTTTGCTGAGGTACATGTATGCTGTGCTGGAAAATTAACATGATTTATGCGTACATTTTACCTTCAGAAAAACGCGGTGAAAAGATGGTTCGGTGCTGCAACGCAATGTGCAGCAATGGCTGGTACCATCTGTCCTGCCTGAAACAAGACAAAAAAATAGTTGCTGATGAAGACTGGTACTGCTCTACAGCATGTAAACAGTCGGCAAGCTACATATACTGCATCTGTCAGTGCCATAAAGGAAAGGAGGATTTATTCATGGTTCAGTGTGAACGGGGTAGTGCTTGCACTAAAAGAGTGTGGTATCACCCCTTCTGTGTGGGTCTGCAGTCATCAGACATCCCAGGTAATTTAACCATGCATATGAAGTTATTGATGCTTTGCAAATTGAATATTTAATGTGGAGAGACAGATGTGTATGTTTCAAGTAGAGATGTGTTTTAAAAGGAGCCTGTATACTCAGTGTCACTGTATTGAGTAAAAGTTGCACACAATACTTCTCGCCGAAATTCCCTCTCATCAGATTTGAAATATCCCTGTTTAAATTCATATATCTGGCTCAAAATTGGGCTAATCATCACGGGAGCAAATACTTGCTCCCTAGACAGCTGAATTTGTCAGTTTACGGGAGCAAGTAGCTCCGATACAATATTAAAGACATATTTTCAAGACAAAAAAGCAAAGACCCTGGTCCTTGCTGTTGCTTTTGTACTTAACGACGTGACACCAACAGTCTGGCACCAGGCCTTTATAACGTGCATATAGAAGGGAACTAACTCAAGCGTTTTCTAAATGAGTGGATTAGGTTGAGACTTTGGTTTTACTGGTTCCAGCTATTTTGGAGCAGCGTTCAAAACCACATGTTTAAGCTCTGACTGGAACCAGCAAAATTGAAGTCTAAGCTGAATCCACTCTTTTGGTTTGAATTCACACGCGAGTCTAAAAGGTTGTGGTCGTGGCCAGTTTCCATACAATCTTGTGTAAATTCCAACCATATCAATTCATACACGGCCACTGTGCAAACCATTCAGCGAGATCGTGACACTGGTCGTGGGTATGCGTGCGTACGTTCATGTGTGAGCATGCATCGCATGTGAGACTGTGGCGTGGGCTCAGTGACATTGTAAAAAATATTGCACCCTGTTATGGTTCTGTGGTAAGGCTGATCTGAAGTAGAGTCAAAAACTTTTCATGAAAAGTAGAAACAAACGATAAAAATGTTCAGGTACATGTACATTTATTTTTCATCACAATCATGGAATCAAACGGGTGTAAGTACTTGCACCCGTCTTCATGATTTACGGGCGCATTTTTGAGACAAACAGGCGCATTTTAGCTAACTGCACCCGTTAATTTCAAGCCCTGCATATATATGTACATGTATTGTGTAAAATGTTTCGTTGGCTCACGTTTCTCTCTCTTGCAGATGTGTGGTTTTGTAGTGAAGAGTGTGAGATTGGAAAGAGAGGTGAGGACCAGGTGCTTGAATACTCCAAGCGCCTAACTTTGGAAGGTCTTCGCCACCTAGCAAGACAGGATTTCATCAGGGAAGGTGATGGAAATGGGCTTGTGTCCTGCTGGAAACTTGACTTCCTTGATATTTGGAATCGAAATCATACACGCTACAAATATATCACCCATTTCTTCCTTGCCAGTAAGTAGAATAAGATCACTAGGTTTTGGTGTGAATGTAAACTTACTTTTTTGGGTTGGATTTGCAAAAGTAGTTAAACTACATGTATTTTACAGGTTCCGTGGGAAGCTGTTAATTAAGTTTTAAATTTTCACTAGTATGCCAATAACACTATGAATTTCCACTCGGTTAAGATACAGTTCCTCAGTTGAAACTGGTGTATGCCGTCTGATCACTCAATTTAACTGATTTGATTTTCGGTTAAACTTGGGGTAGCAAAAATACAGGGTTTAAATTGGGTTGTTTTTGGAAACTGGTAAGGAGATCTGCTCATTAACTCTGCGGTTAGTTTTGTGATTTTTCAGCTCGGATAGCAATGCCGACTATTAGGTTAATTTAAACAGGGATGTTCTGGGGAATCACACTCTGCAGTCAGTTTTGTGGAGTATAATGCCCAAGGCCAGATGAGCTCCTTTGTGCATGGCGATACTGCATTAATAGGCTGCCCCGCCCTAATCTCTAACAGTATACTAAATAGCTTTTAATCGCCACTGATTGAAACAAGTGAGTTCTTTGCACCTGGACTCAGCACTTCGTAGGCCTATCCTATACCTGAATGTATTAGTTTTCAGACGTCATGCATCCCATGCATTTCACTGAAACATTTTATTTAACCATTTAACACATCGCAAATTCTGCTGAACATTTGAGCCCTTCACGAACAGGTTGATCCGCGGATGGAATGCAACATGCATGGTTATGTATAAATGGCGCCCGATCATCCGCGTGTCATGAATATTTTTGCTACAAGCTCTCACATCAGCCAAACCACTGAACTGCAGAACCGGACCTAAAATCATCTAACATGGCACTTTCCAACCAAACCGACCCACACTGTTAGGTTCGGATGATCAGCTTTGATATGACATGTGACATGTAGGCCTACTTGTACAGTAAACTTAGGTGGCCCCGAATCACAAGATGGTGAGAATTCAAAATCAACTAACCCAGACACAGGTATCATTTTTAGTCAATCAATTCATTGCTTTATATGTCAAAAATCAGTGGATTTATCATGTAAAGTTACAATGTACATGTAGGTACGGCATTTCAGCCGCCTTACAATACTAAATTCTCACTACATTTGTGCAAATGTATAATCAGAAAAATATTATGCATGCAAATATCCAAGATGCACGCCATTACGTTCCATACTTGGCCAATGAAGTTAGAAATGGACGTTCAAAATGAATTTTGATTGGATACTGATTGCAGTTGGACTCACGCTCGATCAAGGGGAAAATTTATTTTGGGCCATTCACATACATACAGCCTGAATTTGCATATTACGTCTTTTTCGCAAATTTGCGAAAAAGGCATTCTTTTTGTTCTGATTTTTTTGGCTTTTTTGCAAATTTTTTTTTTATTCTTCCTCTTCTTCTTCTCCCCAAAAGGCCTTTTAATTTGTGCATGTTTTTTCTGGCCACCACTTTAATGCCTAAACAACTTTCGAATGTCACTAAACTTACACCAATGAAGGACCCTTATGCATAGATGTACAGGAAGCATGACGTCATGATGACATCATCAAGTGATTTTTTATTGATTTTCAATATTTTTTTCGGCCCATTCACTTTGTACACGTTTTTGCGGCACAGTTTGGGTCACTTAGCAATCTCCAATCATTATCAGACTTACACCCAATGGTGACCCGCATGCAAAGTATTTTCCAAATTGATGACATCATCATGACGTCATCATATGATTTGTTATGCATTTTTAAATCTTTAATTTTCCCCATAGACTTTGTACATAGATTTCAAGTTGCAATATCTTCAGCTAGCAGACTTGAATCAGTCTAAAAGTTACACCAAGCACAGATGATCAGGCAAATATTCTACCAAAGTAGTGACGTCATGATGAAGTCATCATGTAAACTATTTTGAAATTTTCAATCTTTATTTTTTCCCATAGCTTTTTGTACACAGATTTGAAATGGCTACATTAATTAAACTTTGTGTCCGATCGGGTTGAAACCTTGCATGTATCCACAAAGGGATGTGTTTGAGATGAAAACTGGCATGATGTGTTGACAATGTCATCATGTGGGGCGATCTTTAAAGCATCATATTTCCTAAACAGAGTCCCAATTGCTTTGAAATCTTGCGTGTATCTTGAAAGGGACGTGTTATAGATGAAAAATGACATCATGTAATGATGCCGTAACCACATGACCATGCAATCACGTGACATTAAAGGGCATTCATTAACAAGTGTTCCTTCTAAACTACATATGTGTGATTGGGTTAATTGAAAGCTCTCATTTACACATTTTTAAAAGTGTTACAGACCTAAACCAACATGATGTGCCGATGATGTCGTCATTTGACTGGTCACATGCCATTAAAGGGTATTCTAAAAATAACTACATCTCCTAAGCTACATACCTGATCAGGCTGAAGCAGGTAATTTGAGAAGTTTGTAGTTGTGGACGATGTGGAAAAATTGGCCTACATTATGACAAGTGTTAGGATGGGTCACTTTCTGATTGACCGATTCAGAATTTTACATACTTCTTAGATCTGAAAATTAGTCCCTACCCGCCCACCCAAACTCGACATCAATGATGAAAATGATGAATCCACGATGTATGTGCCCACTTCTATGATGCCAGTATACACAAATTGTTCAAAATTGCAAAACAATGCGAAAAAGCCCTCTGTTCTGTTGGCAAACAGACAGATAAGCTCTCGTTCATTCTTGCTTTTGGCTGAGATGATAATGAAAAGGATTTTCTAAGCTTGGGGACGGGGGATTGAAAGATTTCTTACCAGGAATTCGGCGTAGACTGTAGATCAAAAGTGCAATGTAAGGTTTACTTTGAAGAAGATGAGAATGGGTAATTCCTCGACTAAAAAGATACTGACAGCTGGCCAACATAAGCCGGTTGATGATCGCCACCCGCCGCAATATTGGTTCATGTCCGCGTCCGCCCGTGCACCTTTTGACCGACCAAGACCATGAACGTGCAGAAAAGCTTGCCTCCAATATCACGCGTCATGGGGCATTCAACTGTGTACATGTATGACATGACATGCCTAGCACATGGGAGGGCTAGGAGTTGCAGCCGTACTACACGGGTGGCCCGTTAGCTTTACGCTGTCCGAATGGAGAAATTGTGGAACAAGGAAGTTCGTCCTCAAAACTGGGATGAATTATTCCAGATTCTGGTATGGTTTGGAGTGCCAGGTTCTTGCTACTTTGTTAGGCTCATGGGCTGGCTGTACGAAACTGCCAAGGGGAGTTTTACTCGGTATAAGCTTCAGCGCTCTGACGAATGGTTAACATCGGACTATGGGCATCGCCATCTTGAATTTTATCACTAGCGCTTTTGATTTTGTGCATGCAGAAAACAGTCACTTCCGATTAATTGTCATTAAGGACTAATGGACGGTAACTATACCAATAAAACTTCAGTTGTTTATTATAACTAAACTACTCCAGACACAAGTATCGTTTTTATTCAAACAATTCATTGCTTCATATGTCAAAAATCAGTGAATTTGTTGTGTAAACGGGTGCAGGAATACCTCCACACGCCAATGCATGTACATTGAAGCATGGAGGAATGTGTTTTATTCCTCCATGACTGAAGCCAATTCCAGCTTGTGGAATGTAAGTAAGATGATTGAAATTTCCCCCCAAACCGCTCACTCCTTTATTAGGTAAAAGTGGATTTACCCAATGGGACTCTCCGGTTTCTAGCAAACCATCTTTCCACCGTTAAAACACGGTGAAACTAGGTGACAGTCTGTTTGAACTGCCGATGGACCAGGAGAGGATTAAGGCTTGAATAACAAAGTGTGGTGGGTTCGGTTGAAACACAGTTAAAATGGGGTGAACATTTTGGTTTGATCTTCCGGTATGCAGTTAAAACGGGGTTAAAATCAGGGTGGAATACATTTTAACCAAAAACAACATTTAACCAATCCAATTGTCATAATGTAACTGCATAGGGGATATAAAAATGGAATAAAATTCCCTTTGTTGTGGGTAATTTTACTGACCCTTCAAACGAATGTTTTAATCCTGACAAATGATGGTATTATCTGACACATACATTTGAGAACCCACAATTATAGTCAGGCACCATTTTGGAACGTCTGGAGCGAAGAGGAACGTGGACGTTGGACATCCACAATAAGTGTCCACGGAATGTTCAAATGTAAATACATACATGTGCGTGTGCATGTCCTATACAATGTCCGTATGCATAGTAAAAGCATGTGTACATGCAGTATGGTCACCTATGGGTAGTTGGTGTTGTGGCATACATAAATGGAGCACCATGACCCGTACACATATGAGTATATTGAGTGGAGTAGCAAGGGCCAATTTGGAAGCATTTCTTTATACATTTCATCATTCGAGTTTCATTCTTCGTCTTTATTCACAGGCTTTCTTTGATTTCCCAAAGATTCTGGGTGTGGTGTCTGACTTCAGCAATCATTTAAATCTAATCCCAAACGCGTCGCAATTGTTCCAAAAAAAAAACCACTGTGCATGAAAATGCCCACAGCACAGTTTGGAGCTCACTGTCGGTCCTGACCAGTTGGCTCTGGTCAGCCTGACTCTTGATGTCCAAATTTGTCTAAATTCTGGTTTGTTCCGAAAGTTATGCGGGCTTGTCCCCTCTTTATAGGTGTTGCTGCAGTCTGTGGCAACACATCTGGTTGGCGTGATCTCTCTAAAATGCCAAATGATTTTCCAAACTCGACCCAAGACAAGCATTAACGCACTAGAAGTGTACGACAATATCTCCTCAAATGTGCGACACAGATATGCAAATTTTCTATATTAATGAGATGCCTCTCAGGAGCGTGACCATTTCGCCAAATTTTAAAAAAATTTTTCTCCCATTGATGAATCAAAATAACTTTTACATTTTGGATATCGCGTAGAAGCATACACTTTCCAGTTATAACTAACAAAACCACTTTTCATGGGCCCTTTAATGTAACCTTTGAAAATGCGTGTTAGATTCCATCGATATCCATATTACTCACTTGTTTAATATTAATTCAGTAGTGATATGAAAATATCATGATTTTGATCATGTCAAATGATTAGGAATTTGGTCCTGAAAATTGTATCAAGACTAAAAAGACATGAGACCATTAATTTAATAAATGGTTGATATCATGGTAAGTAACACTTTGCCAACACTGGCACGCTTGTGAAACAAATAACCATTTTGAAACTTATTCAATTTAAACACTTTGTTTATATGTACATGTATAAGTTGTGTAAAACTCTTCATCTTATTTGAAGGGGATGGTTGGGCTTTACCATCATGACAGGACCCCAGCTTAATGCACAGAAGCATTGCCCGGAATCTGTGTGGAAACAAGTTAGTTCTACAAAATGATTATCAGCTTTAGTCTGCACTCAGTCAAGTGATTATATGACCTTTGTATAGTCACGCACGAAAGAAATTGAATGAACACTGAGGGTTTTGCCAAAAGTTGGTAATACTTGTAACTGCACCGTACAAATTTGTCAAATTTGAAATTAACAATGTACAGTTCATTGTACTTTGTGGTGTTCTGTCAAAAATATTTAACCCCAAGAGTCCGAATTTCTCCTATTTCAGCATGATTTGACATACACCCTTGGGGGCAAGGGTTAAACTGACACGTTTTTGGACATCAGTATTTTTTTTTTAATTTTCTTTGCTGCTCACATTACCACAAAAGTGGTGATTGCGCAAAAGTTGTTGAGTTATGCTTATCTTCCCTCTATTCAGAGATATTATGCTTTTATTCTAATTTTGGTTTAATTACCCCCTCCCAAGAAAAGAAAAGAAACTTCTTTGGCAGCTGGTTTAGTGGCATTGTCTGAGAGATGCATCTGTTTTGTTTGGAAAAAAATGAGTGTACCTACATTCATACACATCTTCACCTACATATGTATCTTACTTCTCAAAAGTTCACTTTCATGGAAACTATGCAAGGTATCATTGATTCCAGCTGATCACATCAAAGACAGTGCATATAGCACACCAGAAATATTTTTCAAACGGAAAAAAAAGCTGGAAAATGATGAAGGAAGGAGGAGTGAATACCACACCTTGATTCTGATTGGCTAATTCTAGCTTGCAAATATTCACTATCGTACTTCAAGACAGAAACTGATGTTCCTAGATAGTATCTCTCAACTTTGCTTTTTTCTGGTAACCTTGAAAGTGTAAGTTTTGTGAAAAACTTTTTTCCAGATCTTTATGATTGTTATTTTGATTTAAGGAAGTGATAATTAATCAATTGTTTTGCAGGATTGTTTTATAGGCTAATGCTCAAAATGGATTGCTTGTTTTGTGATCTAATTCAATGATTCATTGAAACCACATACATGTATCTGTGTACACACTTATAAATGCGTCTTCAATCATCTAGCCTTTATTTAAATTCAAGCTTGTGTACCCCAAGGTGTTGTGCATGAACAAATCACACTCTTTGAATGACATCACTGCAACTGTGCCTGCGTCATCATTTGTCAAAAAAGCAAAAAACAATTTATCCTTTTTAAAACTGCTCTTATCAATTTTACTTCATCCAAAATGGAAGTCAGGCAAATTTTATGAATTTAAGACGGAGTAGTTAGTTGCAAAGAAAGTGTGTCTATGCAAAATTACATGGAACCTTCAAAATAGATACGAATTTTCAAGTTGACTTTTTTGACAGTCTGTAAAATTGAATGACATAATTCCATTTCACCTTATGAACCACAGACTCAGTATGTCATTTGTAGCTATTTGATGAGCAGTTGGCTTATAGTACAACAGGCTGCATCACTGTACAACAATTTCACCAGTATGGTTTATGGCATGTTTTTGTCGATTTGTAACATAGATGTAGCTGGAGCAGCACCAAGTAGACTGAGACATGAACTCATCTGGGAAAGAGTTGCCAACCTGAGAGGTCTGCCAGGGAAAAATGTGCCTTTGGATCAAATTATGGGACATTTGGCCCAGGACTGCAAAGGTGTTGTAATACAGTTGTTATTTGTTGCTGCTGAGCTCAAATTGGGGGGGGGGCATCACCACAATGTGACCCTTTGAAGCACTTTCTTAAACAAATAATTTTTGACAATGTTATAGTTGCTGCAGCATTACCAGACCTGGCATATTTGTCAATGACAGGATGAATTTTTAGGCTCAGAATGGAAAAAACATGGGAGTGGCATCAAAAGTTTCAGTTATAACTTTGAACCAGTGCATCTGTTTTTCTCACAGCTATTCTAAAACAGCTACGTGGTGAGTACAGTGACCTTTCATTGGCAAGATGCAGTCAGTTAGCTGGGGTTTTCGGATTTGACAATGCCTTTGCCAACCGCCTTTTCGGCAAGGATAGGTTAATCCCTTCTATACCGTCACACCGTCACACCAGCAAGTGCTTATCAGACGTGGCAACCTTTGTTAAAGAATATGCATCTTGTGACCTTTGGACCTACAAGGGTAGGAGACAACACACTGGAATACAGCCAATAGAACCGGGGTATCATGTGAAGAATCCACTGGACTTTGGGAGATACATCGCTGAGCGTAACCGAGTCCTAAGGACGATAATGACCAACTCACAAGAAGCTGACACAAGAAGGACACAGGACAGGTTAGCAACTTGTTGAACTATTTGGCTGTTTGCTTCCTTAGCAGATGATAATGATAACAACATTTTTATACAGTGCTTTCAACTAAGATCAAAGCACTTTCCATTATTACCCCTGCTCACTTAGCCCATAAAACATTCCAACTACCATCTCAGCTCCCTGGGGAGTATACAGCTCAATGGAGCCATTTTGGAGCAAAGCAGCTAAATCAACCACAGTAACCATCTCTGCCCTCACAGGTTACCCATTTACACCTAGGTGGGGAGCAATGAGTGACAAAGTGCCTTGCCCAAGGGCACGTACATGGGCTGGATTCGCATCCACAACCTGCGGCTTTACCAGCCGACTAAGTAAATAAGTTTTGTGCTCAGTTTAATCTGACTCTTTGGGGGATTGGTTGAAGTTTTAACAATGTTGTTACCGTGGTAAGTTCTGTCAAGATTATCTTCAGTTAACCAATGAGGAAAAATTGTTCACATCTGTGACAGAAAAATGAACAAAATATGCGAGAGGGACCCAGTTGTAGACATGCAACTTTTCCTTGTACACCTGATATCACAGACATTGATGTCGTGCTGAGCACCCTTCAAAGAACAAACACCGAGAATGAGTATAAAACATCTCTACATTTTCCTTAGTATAGATTCCTTGAGAGGGATAGAGCATTACATAATGCCTCACCCTTAACCACATGTTGCTGTGTGCTTATAAAAATGCAGTGCACACATACCGGGCGATTTTCAAAATTCTTCAAAAAAATTCATCATGTCATTTAAAAGACTTTTACACCCACACGAAGGACTCCTTGGTGGCTACTTTGACAGGTAACCTTCACTGACTCCTGAATATTTCAGCCACGCCTCCAGCCTTGTAAAAAGAGCCCAGATTGTGAGGTGTTATGTAAGATTATTTTGTTCCCGAAACCCGCACAGTGCACTGCTGGCGTCTTTTTAATATGGGCCAGATTAACGTGCAGCGATGCTGTGTGGCTCATCACTGTGGTGGTGGAGCGCTTTTGTTCCCGGTGGTAATCCGCTTGCTCTAAATGCCCCAAACCATGGTATACTGTTTCAAAACAAGGCTTGATTATCTCCACCATTGAGAGTGAAAAAATGTCGGTAATGCCCAGCAGCTCAGTTTTTTGTGCTGAGCACGGTCTTTTGTTACAAGGCCCAGCTCTTTTGTCCTACTATCGGGCTCCTGGCCTCGTGTATAAAGCCTAGGTCCCCGGGTCCCCGGCAGCAAGTGGTTAATATGTTACGATATGTTACACCTGGCTTTCTCTCTATTCAGTGACAGCAGCTCCTCTAGTTCCTCTGGTGAGGATACACCTTGTGACAGTAGCTCTTCCAGTGCCTCCAGTGTGCGATCACTTTCTCTCCCAGACCAGAGTCCTATGACTGCTTTTCTTGAGGTAAATAGGCTGAAGGATAAAGCACACATTTAATGTGTATTAATTCTTCTGGAAAGTTGCTCAATTTGAAAAATGCATCACACTTTTTTCTTTTTTAAAATTGTCAGCAACAATGGAACAGGCTTCCTGTTTTCATTTGATTCACTTATGTTTGTTTCCTAAAACAGATGATGGACATTCAGTAATGCTCTTTACTACGACACTTACTCAAGGAATGCATCATTACTGTCAGTCTGTTGAGGCCAGCACCAATGATGACAGCATCGTATTTTTGAGCAAAAGGATCTTCCTCCCTGACTGTGGGAGTGCCTCACTGTCATGTGATACCTACAACCAATCGAAGGCTTGATGCACAAGCATAATTTTGAAATGTATTTGAAAGATTTATTTCAAGAGCATCAGGTAACCAGGTAAATAGATTAGCCATTTGTGTTTACCAGCATGTAAAAGGCTGTAGAATCTCTAGGTACAGCTGGACTTTTGGCAGACTGTGCATGATCTTCATAGTTCCCTGCCACAGTTATTAATTCATGGCTAATCAAAGTGGGTGTAAGTTGTGTTAATACTTTACATTTGTTATTGAACATGCTAAATGTACACTACGTAAATTTTTGTTTTGCCCCTTTTGATTCAAAGCAAGAGTTGTGTTCCAGTCGTAGTTTTAAGTTTTGAGTTTTTCATATACAATGACAAAAGTATGTCTTTGTGATTGTTCATTGGGCCTTTGATCTAATTACATGTATACAAACACTACATGACAGGAGGATGGATAGACTTTGTCAATTACCCAAAGTGTTGGAAGTTGACAAACCAGCTCCACCATCTTTTCCTCATGAACTTGTTTGATAACTTCCAATACATGTGTGTTGGGAACTAATCTTAGCTAGCAACATGAAATGAACCATGTATTCTAATTTACTTCATACCTCATATGTCACATGTATAATTTGTTGCCGTAACAATTTCAATTGTTAGTTACCAGTGGTGGTCAACAAGTACTGGTATAATTATGTTCTGGTTCGGCCATCCTTTCAAATGTAGTTGAGTTTTAAGGTATACAGACAAAGCTATGCCCTCATGACTTTCTTTGGCTTGTAATCTAATCTACAAATTTAACTTGACTGGAGGATGGATGGATGGATAGACTGTGTCAGCTCTCCAAGGTATTGGAGGTTGACAAACCAGTTCCACCATCTTTTCCTCAGGAACTTTGTTGATAACTTTTGACAAGAAATTAACCACATTATCTGTATTTGACCATACTTCATGCATATTCAGTTGCCTTGAAAATTTCGTATTAATTGCCAGTGATGGTCAACAAGTACTGTTTGTGCTTTTGAGCATTTGAGCTCAACATGACCAGAACGACAGTTTCACAGTAGTTTTAGAAGCTGGAGGTATAGGAAGCTGACCATACACAGCGGACTTGTTCACGGGCACACCTACTAAACATAAAAAACAGTGATTGGCAAGATGGGGTAAATGGATTAGTGAATATTTAGCCTTCATGCATAAATATGTTGAAAGGTACTAGAAGTTGATAATGGAGTGTGCCTTTGCTAAATGAACCATTTACATGTATGTGATTAAGGTGACATGACGACTATAAATACATCATATGCTTAAAGCCTTGATTTGGTAGCATCCTCCAAATCATTTTTGTGTTCACATTTAGTGTGACTGACACTTTTCTGACACAGTAATAAATCCTAGCTAATCCTTTGTTCTCCAAATGGACCGCATGGTTTACTACACATTGAATCTTTACTTACGAAGTAAATGTGAAGGGTATTGGCACAGGTTTGACTGACTAGTCCAAATCCCCCCATATACACGTATTCTCAAAAAACAAATTTGTCACACTTGAATTTAATATCTTTTAATTTAGTAATAAATGAGTTTTTGTTATTGGTATGTAACATCTCTAAAGGAATTGTTGCATTGTTTGGTTGGCTATTCTATTTGTCTACAGAAACACCTTTGCTCTCTTTCGACCTCTTTCCTGCTGACACTACACAGCCAGTTGTCTATCCTACTTTGTTGATCTAGTTTTTGTGAACAGATGCTCCTTGGCCAATTTGTACCCCCTTCCAGACGAGATGTGTCCATAGAAAATGTGGTATACCCACTGGCTGCCATGGTGATGGTGGGCGGCGTTTAGTTTGCAGATACTCTCTCTACTGTTGATGTAATTGATTTGCTCTTGACACCTTAGGAAGGCTGGAGTCTTCACATGTTGACTAGAAAGAGGGGTCACCAGGCAAAATGTGTACAGATTTTGTCTCATGAGTTGGAGAAAAACTGACGAGATATTTGCTTAATGCAAAAACTCAACAGTCTCCTGCATTCACATACCCCTGCCCAGCCTACATATGCAAATTTCCCATGTGCCTATTACGATTCGCTGAGAGACTTGATTTGCATGCTTCCCTTGACCCTCCACAATGCACTGCAGTCCCGCGGAGCGGGGCTTGGTGGGCTGTCCGCTCCTTTGTGCTGCGGTTTTGCGTTACCGATTAGCGGCCTCGACGAGGAGAGACCCAGTGGATTGAATAGGCCGGGGTTGAGTGTGATATACCACAACATGCCTGGGACCTTTATCGACAAGATCAGGCTGAGCGGAGGTACCACAACATGCCTTGATCGCTAATGACCACTACCAGGATTGATCGGGTTGAGCGAGCGGTACCGTTACAATGCCTTGATCACTGATGACTACTCCACCCACTGGGCCTAGCATGATCGACTGCTACACTACCCTTGGTCACCAAACCCACTCAGATCGAGTTGACCGTGCTATGCCGCAACAACGCCCTTGATCATGATTGCCAGGGAGTAATGAGCCGTTCTTCGCTCTATGTCGCAAGGTCCGGGCATCGTTATACCTACTGCATCCCCGGACAACCCTACCGACGATCTTTTTGACGGTGTTCGGCACGATGGTGCCCGAAGTTCCGAATCTTGTTTGACGACTTGGCTGTGTTCTGTATGCGCATGCGCAGTCAAACTATAGAATTTTTCTCGCTCTCTCAAACAATCGGGCAGTCAGTGCTAATTTGAAACATACCTTACGTGGGTTTGAAAGGGACTCTCTTAGTTTGGGGATGCTTTTTATTGCATCTTATAACCAAGCTAAAGGTGTCCCATCCCCTTCGATACCTGCTTGTAAACGTTTTCTGTTTGAAATGGACAGTGTTTGCTTGCAGAATTGGTTTGGGTTTCAAGTTACTACCAGCAGATTTCACGAAACGTTGCATAATTTTGAACCATGCGTAAGCCTTGCACCACAAATTTCTACCATAGCTACACAATATACATGTACGTATGTTTTATTGCAGGAAAAGTTGCATAGCTGTGGCAAGTTTTAATGCTAAATTTCTTGGATGAGGACAAAAGTAGCTCTTATGGCAGCTGTTTATGTCTGACGTAACTGAAATCTCGCAGAACTTCCCTCACAGCCAAACAAGTTTTTCATTACCTTCTCCAACAAAGTGGTGTTTGTCGTGTAAGCCTTGTCAAGTTCAGCAACGATGAGGCTTAATTGACTATGATAAACTGATCAAATCATTCAATTTAGCTTCATTTGGCGCAATCTGGAATTACTGCATAACTTGCACCATATCTTGTTGCATAAATTGCTGACTTACGCAATGCGTAAGGTTCTTGAAATTAGTCCTGAGGTGTTGTGCAACTTACACAATAAAATATGGCGTTAAGTGGAGTTACACCATTATGTAAAGTTTCTTGAAATTGGCTGAACGGCCGAAACCAAATTCAACCTGGACCAAGTTGGATCCGGATCAACTCTGATCCAAACTATTAAATCTGGGCCCCGTACCAAGTGTGACTCTCTCAAAATAAAGGATCGTTCTCAGCAATTATTACTGTGTTGAAGGTGAATGAGGAATTGTCGTCACCGATGGAAGGCATATCTACTTTGCGTAGTGATAAAGTTGAGCAAGAACCCCAACCTTTGTCTTATGTACAAGTAAATACTCCGGCTGCAATGCCCCCTGAATCTAACGAAAGAAGGAGTAAAAGCTATCAAGGTAGATGTTCATGTAGGAAAACAAAACTAATAGGTAACCTACTGTTAGACACTTGAATATTATTTAAAAATTTCAATTCACAAAAAGATAAGTTATAAATGGAAAGTACATGTAGTTATATGAACATGTACAGTATGTATAGGCCTACTGTACATGTAAGTTTTGCCATTCCTCAATTTTGTTGTCCAGATGGAAAAGAAATAATTTTTGTTAGTCAATGAATGTGAAAAAAACTCTACTATCCAACCCAGCCCTTCCAAAATTGACCCATTCATATTGTACGTAAAATTGGTTTAATCGCATTTCTGTGAAACACTACTTACTTTTTAGATTTTCAGTCTCCTCAGTCTTTCATCCTTTGGATACCGTGTTTTACCGTATTTTTGTTTACCATTCACGAAAGGGCGATCACTTTCATCAAGCAAGGAGCCTATGTGAAGGCATTAAAAAATCTCCTCCTTGAGAAGGGACGCAAAGCGTTTCGTGAAATCATGGCAGACGAATTACACAACGAGGTGCATTATGTCTTGGAGTCAGAAAACACATTCAGGGGTTTGACATCAGCGTTCTCACTTGAGACCGTGGAAAACTTCAAGTGGGGGGAGGTCATGGAAGATGTTCAAGCCAAGATGCCAATGACTTACACTGTCTTCCAAGGGATCATGCCATCGGAGAATTTATTGAGGAAACAACTCATGAGAAAATGGTAGTGCTGGTGACATTGATTTGTTGGTTTTTTCTATTTTCTTTCGGGTGATATCACCAATACATCGGAAAAATTGTTCAGTGCATGATTAAAACACTTCTCATTTTTACAAAGTACCTCAAAACTTGGTCACCATTGGTTATTTCCTCAAACTTGGTCACCACTTACGTGTAAAACCCAAGACATCAGCCCTGGAAAAATTCGGAAACCATTCGTAAACATGGCATGCCTCAGAAACATTGTGTTGCCAATTTTAGTATTGAACTTCATGTTGGGCTGGTATCCAGAAAACTGTGGTCATTACAATAAATGACCTTCTTAATTCTGAATTCAAACATAGCGTACATTAGAATCTCATAAAAAGCTTTCTTAATTGTTGATTTGTGAGTTTGATGGGAAATATTTGTAAATATTCATTGTTGAATGATCTTTATACCAGATACAATAATATTGGCACAATCGGAAAACTTACATGCACATGTATATAACATGAGCATGTACATTTACATGTTATGTACACTTACATGCACATGTACATATCATGTACATGTTTATACTGGTAGAGTGTACATGTAGTGTAGGCAAATGTACAGTACATGTGTATGATCTAAAGCCAATGTACACATTGCCATGTGTATGGCAAATACTTGAGGTCAAGTCTGGGTATGTGTGGCTGTTCTGAAAAAAAGCTGGTTCCATGTCGAAGGGACTTTAGATAATGCATCAGTAAAATTTATGTAACCAACCGAATTCCGCACACTGCGAATTCATTTGATACACGTATACTTCCCCACATGTACTTGAAGTAGGAATTTCAAAAACAAACTGTGCATTGTCGATGCCTAGCCAAGCATGCGCAGGTTAGGGCGTGGTGCAGCGCCAAATTCAATGCACATGCTGTCGTGAGAGGAGTCACGTCGAGATCTGTCTTCGTTTTTTGCGTTTCTTTAGTTTATAGCCATTGCTTTCCTCCTTGGTTGTTTGCTTGAAGTAAAAGCTATTGCGGCATTGAGTCCTGACAGGTGTCTGTGGCCGACAGCAATTTAGGCGTGCGGGACTACATTCTGGTGAGGAAATTGTCAATATCTTTCATATAAAATTTTGATTGTTGTAAAGCAAGAATGGGTCAATTGCATTGAACGATTGTATTTTTTGTCATTTTTTTTGCAACTTTCGTAGCATATATTTAATGGTCAAACCACAATCTGATGGGAATTTGATGTGCTGATACTTGTATAGCAGTTTGAACAAAGTTTTATCATAAAGATAGATCGTTCAGACACGTTGTGTTACACTTGTCATTTAGGAGAATCATACTGTTGCTGCTGATAAGAAGCTCAGAATGCTGTAGATCCTTCCGCTCACTAATCTTCTGGCAGGTACAATGCTTACTGTAACTGTTGTTATTCGTATTAAGATATTATGGGCGGCGTATGCACCATATTCCACTTTAATGTGATAACATTTTGATGCAAGGAAAGATTCCTCCTAACATGAGACTTCTGTTTAATGGTATATAATTATTTAGTATTGTAGACGTAAGTCATCGACGGTTTAGAGATGTGTTTAAGCGCATGCTGTCATCCTCTGAAACGTACACAGTTTTATATGTAGACTGTACTGTTCTCCACACATTGGAATTTTTGCAGGAGTGGTTACCCATTTTTCCCAATGATTGTGCATTTGCAAAAGTGCATAACTTTACAATTATAATATTGGGATTTTGTAATCTTCCTCTACGCAGATCCGTCATCCTCTGGTAGCCTTGTCCCCCCTTTTAGTTCTCACTTCTTAACCTTAGTTTCACGGTATTTGTCATCGAGTTGAAATAGGATACCCGATTTCCACTATTAATTGTTGTCTTTTTTAGACGTTTGGCCAATAATCGGATCCAGTACATGTTCCTGATTCTGTTCTGAGTCCCGTTAGAAATAAATCACTTCGAGAGCGACCTGCAAGAAAAAGTCCATCTGAGTGTTTTTTTTAATTTTATTTTTCTTCTCACTTGGTCACACATGGCGTAGTCGGCAGGATTATAAAAAATCCATTGGGGTTTCCCTTGCGCGGAATGCTCTCGATTAACTAGGACAAAGTGTTTTTTGGAAGTAGTTTTAATTCACGGCCCTGCCCCATCCCAACAGACAAGGCTACCGGAATCGCAGCGTGCTGTCTTCTGCTTCTGAAGTTCTGCATCAGCTACGGACGGAGGTCAGCCGGGAGGATCCTTTGTAGAGAACAGACGGCCACTGGTCATCAACTGAGACCTGAGGATTGGACAGCCTGGAGGCCTGTATCCAAGCAAACTGGGAGCACTATGCAGCTTCATTTATTTATCGCTGTTGTATAAAGTAAACCCAGTATTGTTTTAATTTGCACTGATTGTACGAATTCTTTTTCAAAACATTGAGTGATTACTTATTGTTTGTTTTGGTTTAAATATGGCATCAAAGGAAGATGTAGACTCATTGCGAGATCGCTTAGAAAAACTAAGTCGATAGTTAGAATCAGTTTCCAGGTTGAAGAAAGAAAAGAGCTCTCCTGCGTTCCTATCAATGCCTTCCCAGAAAAAGATCAAATCATTTACAGGCAAAGAACAAGATATTGCTTTGGAAGATTGGCTCTGTGATATTCATGCATATATTGTCTCCAGGCCTCTTGCAGATGAAGATAAAGTGCACCTCATGTTCTAGCATTTAGAAGGTGTTGCTAGGGAGGAAGTTAATCTCCGCCCTGAGACAGATCGTAATGCAGTTGATAAATTGGTTTTGATTTTACAAAACGTTTTTGGAGTCAAAGCTGTAGGTGTTCAATTGCAAGGGCAGTTTTTTGAATGCAAGCAGAAGCAAACTCAGTCTCTGAGAGATTTTTCTCACCATTTGATGGAGGTACTGAACACAGTTGTTAAAAATGCGACCATTTAGGCTCCTGTAAAGATCGGTTACTATTTGATCAATTTGCTGAGGGTGTTTCCGAAGTCATCACTTGTGCACACTGTCAGCGGGCAATCGACATTTATTCCAGCACAGTCATGGGTCACTGTCCTAGCTACAAGAAGAAGAATAACCGGAAGTCGATTCTCAGTCGTAGAGCCTGTGAGAAACTCCGAGAATCTTCGTCCTGGGGAATGGTTCAGGCTACCGTAGTCGACTCTACTCGCCCTTCCTTCCCTGTGAGAATGGTGAATCTATCTTCTGTAGGGGGTTGCTGTACCAGAACGTACTTCGATTGGTATCATGAGTCCTGTTGAGTCGATAACTGCAGGCAACAACCCAGAAGTGCAGTTCAATATGGTCTCTGTCGGAAATCGTGGTTACTATGTGTGAAGAGGATTCTATCAGTCCTAGTGGCAACCCAATTCAAGTCGACTTGTCTGAATTTGATGGCTCCAAACACCAGCGAGCTTCGATACAATCTCTTCTTTACAAACATTGTGATGTTTTTGCAACAAGCCAGTTCTATTTTGGGGATACTTCCACAGTAACTCATCGGATCATCACTAAGACCGTTAACCCATTGTACTATCATTTCGACGTATTCTCCCGAACCAATTCGAGGAGGTAAAACAGCACATCAGAGATCTTCTTTAAGCCAACATAATTAAAGAAAGCTGTAGTCCATATGCATCCCCAGTAGTGCTGGCTAGAAAGAAAGATGGCTCTCTCTACGCATGTGCGTGGATTATCGCCGACTCAACGCACAAACAAAACGAGATGCTTTCCCACTTCCACGCATCTTAGACTCACTTGACGCTCCCAGTGGCGCGAAATTCTTCAGCACGCTTGACCTCGCCAGTGGTTATCAAGTGAGAATGCACGAGGGTGATCGAGAGAAAACCGCCTTCATGACTCCGTTAGGGCTTTACGAATTCAATCGTATGCCCTTTGGATTGTGCGGGGCTCCGGCGACATTCCAACGACTAATGCAGAGATGTTTGGGCGACCTGTATTTCCAGATGTTATTGGTGTATTAAGACGATACCGTCATCTATTCTACGTCTTTTGAACAGCACCTGGGGGCACTTGGACCTTGCTTTAACAAGATTGAAGGCAAACAACTTGAAGTTAAAACCTTCAAAATGTCACCTGTTTCGGCGACAAATCCTAGACATGTGCTATCGGCCGATGGCATAGCAACAGATGACAGTAAAACCAAGGCAGTAGCTGAATGGCCAATTCCGCGGACATTGAAACAACGAAGAGTTTTCTTAGGTTTTGCGAGTTACTACAGGCGGTACGTGCCATCATTCGCAAAGGATGCTCGAGACCTGTATGCCTTGCTTGGGGAGTACCAAAAGAAAACGGCCAGCTACTCCCGCAGTCGGTGGAATGATAAATGTCAAGACACATTTGAGCAGCTAAAGAGTAAATTTGTTTCTATGCCAATCCTAGGTTAAGCTAATTTAAGCAAAGAGATTGACGCAAGTCTTGACGGCTTGGGAGCTGTCATATCTCAACTGCAAGATGGAAAACGTCGAGTGATGGCATATGCCAGTCGTACTCTCCGTCCGAATGAGCGCAACATGCAGCGGTACAGTTCAATGAAATTGGAACTCCTTGCTCTTACTTGGGCCGTCACGGAAAAGTTCAAAGACTACCTCTATGGGAGCCCCTTTGAGGTGTGGACGGACTTAGTCACCTACAGACAGCTCGTCTAGGTGCAACGGAACAGAGATGGGTTGCGAAGCTTAATACTTACGACGACTTCAAGCTAATGTATATATCAGGTCGAGAAAATGCCAACGCAGATGCACTCCCTCGACTAATCCCAAGAAAAGCCGAACAAGAACCACTGAACGGGAATAGTACTATAGTTCATGAGGAATCTTCGTTCTAATGTACCGGCAAAAGTGCAAGTTGTGGGTGTAGAAGAAAATCTAGAATTGACACCAGCAAGGATTCACCTGACAATATCTTCTCAGATATCTGCTTTCCCCTCATATTCCAAAGAGGAACTTCGACTATTACGGCAGAGAGATCCAACCATTCAGAGGTTTACGAAGTACTTTCGTGAGGATAAAGATCTTGCAAGGGTAGAAAAGAAGCTTGAAACCCAACCAGTGTTGGTCCTATTTCCACAGAAGAAGAAAGTTATCGAACAAGATGGTGTATTATATAGGGAGATCATCCATAATGGGGTCAAGGTCAAACAGCTTGTATTACCAGCTTCGTTGAAGCCTACAGTGTTGTCATCGCTCCATGACCATAGTGGTCATCAAGGTGTTGAACGAACATTTGCGATGATTCATCAGAGGTGTTATTGGCCAGTTGTGTTCAGGGAGGTCAAAGAATGGATACAGCGATGTGAAAAGTGTGCATTTGCCAAAAGCAATATTTTCCACCATAACAGGCAAGTTCAACTGCCAAGATGTGACACACCTGTGCAGACGTCTCGGACGTTTATGTGTGTATGAACAAATGGGGGCTTAGCAGGTTTTTGTGTCAGCTGAGGATGAGTCAAGGTGTGTTTGAATCTGTCAGCTCACTCAGCTATGACTCTATGTGTGTATACAGAGAGCCTGAGCACTGTTACACCGTTTGTGTGTCCACACTCCTCCTGTGTGAAGTGGTCAAGAAAATATTCCATCAAGCAATTGTGAGCAACCTTAGATCTGGAATCGTAGATGTCTCTTTTTAAAAAGGAAAGGAAAGCTTGGTGTTTTCACTCCTCCAAACTAAAAGTCATCTCGATTTTTTGGGGGTCATGATTTGTTCTCTTTGTCTTTATACAGACGTATGACTCGACGAGAGGCAAGAGGAACATGGAACAGAATGACTGGCAACATTGTCGCAAACATCCTGTACGCACATAACCCTCGGATTTACAAGTTCTGCCACAGAATAGTCGGGTTGGAAATGTGGCGGCAGGGAGCAGATAGGAGGATATTTGATAAGTTTCATCACCTCGGAGTCTGCTCTACATATCTTGCAGTGCAGGAGACTGTGGACAGGATTCGGCCCTTGCACAATGAGCACATTCATCAGTGGAAGAAAATCACAGTAAGTTAAACTACATGTCGCTGGATGACGTGTACCACAGTTTTCCTTATTTGTTCCACGGAAGACATGTACACTCTTTTAAGAACTCTTTTTTTCATTTCTGCGATTAAAGTATTAATGTGTTATGTTTGGTTGGGCCAAAGCACAGAAGACGACGCTACACATGAATGGACGTTGCTAGTACACGTACCACAATAATCCAGAAGCGTCTTTCTTGAGTGATCAGAATTGAATTGGGGAGCCCACACCATACACAAAAGAACTAATTAGGCCTCTTTTGTTCGGGTAAATGGATTTGCTTTGAAGTGAAAAGACACAAAAGAGGTAAGGTTAATGCCAACAAGCAACTCCTTTGTATCGAAAATAATGGCAAGAACATGCATGGCCACAGATGAGGCCTGTGCGATTGACCTTTGCATGTGAAACTGTTGACGTACATGTAGACATATGCCCGGCACATGTAGGCAGTTGAAACACGACTCACAGAAGAGATCAGGAGGAAAAGAATGAAACTACTGCTAAGCTCAATAGTTGTGCCTCCCTACATATTTTTATTGGCGCCAGAATTACAATTTGCGAGAAAAAAAACCGCCCTTGGCAGCTTTTTTGGGGAAAAAACCGACACGAACTGGTTAATACAGTCAGTATTCATATTTTGCTCCTTCGCAGTTGCAAACTGTGATGTATGCCCTGAGCATTCAATCTCCTGTTTCTGTGTGAAATATGTTTAAGCCATATAAGTCTTATGATAATTTTTAATGATAATGATGTGAGTTTTATGATCATTTTTGTAACTAATCAATTTGAAAAACTTTTTGATTGTTGCTAGGCAATATATAACTTCATGTTGCAATTCACTGATCTCTGATATTTACGAACATGTTATCTGTACTCTTTGGAGAACATGGCCAGATTATACATTTCAGACATTTTTAAATGAAAAAAAAAAGTTCCCTAAGTACCCAAAACTTCAAATACGGTTACTGAGAATACGGTTCCCCGGAGCCTGTCTCCAGGGAACCGCCTTTGGGCCAGTGGGTGAGGGTTAATGTAACCCTTGAAAATGCACTTTTGTGTCACAGTCCATCGATATATCTAATTATTCACTTAATTGATATTACTTCGGTAGCAATAGGAAAATATCATGATTTTAATCATGTCAAATGACCAGCAATTTGGTATTGAAAATTGTATCAGGACTAAAGAGGCATCAGACATTAGTTGATATCTTTTTTTAAGTAACAGTTTGCCAACACTGGCACTCTTGTGAAACAAAAGCCCATTTTGAAACTTATTCAATTTAAACACTTTGTTAATATGTACCTGTATGTGTATAAGTTGTGTATGTGTAAAATCCTTCATCTTGTTTGAAGGGGATGGTTGGGCATTATCCGTCATGACAAGACCTCAGTCTAATGCACAAAAGCATTGCCTGGAGTCTGTGTGGAAACAAGTTAGTTATGCAAATGATTCAGCTCTACTCTGCACTCAGTCAAGTTATCATAGGACCATTGTGTAGTCACGCATGAAAGAAAATGGATAAACACTAAGGGTTTTGCCAAAAGCCGGTAATACTTGTAACTGCACCGTACAAATTTGTCAAATTTGAAATTAATAATGTACAGTTCATTGTACTTTGTGGTGTTCTGTCAAAAATATTTAACCCTAAGAGTCCCCATTCCTCCTGTTTCAGTATGATTTGACATACACCCTTGGGGGCTAGGGTTAAACTGACACGGCTTTTGGACGTCAATAATTTTTAGTTGCTTTGCTACTCACATTACCACAAAAATGGTGACTGAGCAACCAACAGTCGTTGAGTTATGCTTATCTTCCCTCTACCCAGAGATATTGCTTTTATTCTAATTTTGGCTTAATTTCCCCTCCAAAGAAAAAAAAAGAAACTTCTTCGGGAACTGGATATTGTAGCATTGTTTGAGAGACACATCTGGCTTTTTTTAAACAAATAGTGTACCTACATGAATACACATCTTCACCTACATATATGTATCATACTTCTCAAAAGTTCACCTTCATGGAAAATATGCAAGGTAACATTAATTCTAGCTCACCACATCACAGACAGTGCATAGCACACCAGAAGTATTTTTTAAACTGAAAAAAAGGCTGAAAAATGATCAAGGAAGGAGGAGTGAATGCCACACCTAGATTCTGATTGGCTAATGCTAACAGGCTAATATTCACTGTACTTCAAGATAAAAACTGATGTTCATAGAAAGTATTTCTGAACTTTTCTTTTTCTGGTAACCTCGAAAATGTAAGTTTTGTGAAAAACGTGACTCGAGATCTTTAAGGTTGATTTTTTTAGGATTTACAAAAGTGGTAATTAATCAATTGTTTTGTAGTATTTTCTTTATAAGCTAGTGCTTAAAATGGATTGCTTGTTTGTGATCTAATTCAGTGAATCATTGTGAATATTGAAAAGGTTTTTGGTAAACTTGTTTCCATTGTTGGTGTTGCTAATTGTACGGGTATTTTCAGTGTTATGCCAAAACAAATGTCCATTTTCATGAACACACAACATGGGCAGAAAATGGGCAGAGAATGTGACATTGATTTCAGCACAAAAAAGGGAAAAATGGAACATTACCTATCCGCATTTCCTGTTCTAAAAGAAGTACAATAATTGTATTGTGTTTAACTTACAAATTTTAGGTCGCCATGTGTGAGTATAAAAACCTCGTATCTGTACACTTTCTTCCTTGGATGCCAAACTAAAGTCAGTGGATACACTTTGTACATGTACATAGCCTATCCTAACTTTGCACCTGTGCGACCATAATACTGTCCCACCGCACCTCTGTTTCAAATGTTGGAAGTGGGGACTTTTGAAACCACATCCACGTATACACTTATGTCTACAATCATCTAGCCTTTATCCAACTTGAATCAAGCCTGGTTACCCCAGGGTGTTGTGCATAAACAAATCACACTCTTTGAAAGACATCACTGCAACTGTGCCCACATCATCATTTGTCAAAAAAAGCAAAGAACGCTTTCTGATGTTCAAAAACTTCACAAATCAACTGACTTCATTCAAAAGTCAGACAGATTTTGTAGTTAATTGCACAGAAAGCGTGTCTATGCAAAATTACGTGACCCTTCAAAATAGATAAATTTTTCAAGTTCACTTTTTGGGCAATTTTTAGCTAATTGGTGTATGGTTGGCTCATAGTACAACAGGCTGCATCATTGTACAACAATTTCACAAGTGTGGTTTATAGCAAGTTTTTGTCAATTTGTAACACAGATGTAGCTGGAGCAGCACCAAGTAGACTGAGACATGAATTCAGCTGGGAAAGAGTTGCCAACCTGAGAGGTCTGCCAGGGAAAAACTTACCCTTGGATCAAATTATTGGATATTTGGTCCATGATTGCAAAGGTAATGTAATACAGTTGTTGTTTGTTGGTGCTGAGCTTTTTTGAAGTTTGGAATTTTTTGGTGTTAATTATTTATTTATTTGTTAATTAAATGTCCTATATTGTTTACTTTTCATATACCATCCTCTAATTGCCGGTTTGGTCGCTGTTGGACGTGGTTGAAATAAAAAAAAACCACAATACCGTTGATCACGGTTGACAAGAGCATAAGGAGGTGTTCCTTTCTCGATGCTGCAGGTACCGGGCGTCGCTACCTACCACATCCCCGAGCGACCTTACCGACTGGTTGGACCATCCGGGCTTGCGGGGCGACGGTCCGCTGTCTGCCCCAGGTCCTTCACTGGCTTCTGCTCGCCGGGCGGCTTCTGCTCCCTCTAAGCGAGCAATGGGTTCCACGGCGGGTTCGCCACGCTCCACTGCTTCCGCCACGGACGAGTCTCCAATGCAACACGGCGCTCAGCCTCCCGTTGCATCGGACGATGTCGCCCCTTTTGGACTGCTACGGCGAGGGGCTTTCATCCACCACACCCCATCCGCAGCTCCGGTCTGCCGATGGACGTCGGCCACCGATCCTGACCTGGGACGTTCCTTGCAGGATACGACTGACCATTTGGGGGACCCGCCCGGCTGTACCTACAACCGTCCCAGCGTCTGGCTCCCCCGCACCGGTGAAGGCTAAGAAGCGCAAGGCCAAGACATCTTTTTCGGCTTCTTCTTCGTCCAACGCTAAGAAGAAACGCCGCTCCGATCTGGATCCACCTCCGTGGATAACGACCCTCCAGTCCCTCTCGGAGGCCTTCACCTCTCTCGCCCGCAAGATAGACTCCAAGCCTCAACCAGCGGCGACAGTACCCAACCCGAATCCCCTCGCGGCTGTCCCTCCTCCCTCACAAAGGGCGTTCTCGGAGGCTGAAGTGGTCTCTGTTGTCCAGCCAGAACCGTTCCCCCAGCGGGGACCGAGCTCCGGATCATGTCCCGGATCGTGGTGACTCTGTCCGTTCGGCACTGCACTTGGGGCGAGTAAACTTACTCCCTTGCTAGCTGGGTATTGACGTCCGACATTCACCCCCAGTTCCCTTGCTCTGAAGTCCTCTGGCGGTCTCCCCACTACCAGCGCCTACCGTGGAAGACGTGTATTCATCAGTATGGCTCACCAGTCTACACACTGGGGCGACCCCACGCTTCCCGGTCCAGCTACAACGACCATCACACGCCTTGAACTACAGCAGTCAGACGAACTTCACAGCGGGCCACTCACACGTGACATAGAAATTACAACGCCTCGGGCCAATGCCCCGTTCTCGGGACCGGCCCATTCAGGGGCGCCACCTAACTATGTGGGCTCTTCAACGACCACTTGTCGGGTTACAGAACTGCATCATCGCCGTAGTTCTAGAACGCCACTCATCACTGCGGCTTGTGGCTACCGGCTAGGGCTATCTGACCAGGTTGCTTCCGTCACAGAGCCCCGGCGACTCGGTGCGCTTCGACCTATCACGACCTGCATGCCAGATATGCTGCTAGTGTCCCGGATTTTAGGTTTTTCCTTCTGGTTCTACGGCCGGATTACTGGCAAGAAATCTCGCTCTACACCTAGGCAAGATATTTCTTCATCGGGTTTGATGACGGCGGTCCGCTCTCTCGGAAACGCTGCCTCGAGTCAATCTCCACTCCTCCGGGGACTTCCCCGGATCCAAATGCCCTGTGTGTGGTTCTCCTCTTGGCTCCTCACCCGGATTTGCAGCCGACTCCGCTTCAGACTTCACATCCGGTTCCGTTGGTCTGTCTAATACACCACGGCGCCCATTTACACGTCCTTTTCAAATGAATTTGCGCTTACTAAATTCATTCAATAATAAGAATATAATTTCAATCAGTCTTACTTTATTTACCACCACAAAGATAGGATAAATACACATTATTAAGATTGGTTATATAATTAGGGTAGACGAGGGCCATATAACCCTCCGTTGCACAGGACCGATTTTTTCATGTTAATGCTCGGACGCTGTCACGAGTATCAGCTGAATTCACTGCACAGAGCCTACTTTTTACACCCATTGCACCAAGGTGATCGTTTTGAGATCACTTCCGTTATAACCACAAAAATGTGACACCCCCAACACAATGAAACCACCCAGACAGCTGTCTATAGCTCAGAGACACATAAGAGAGACCGACCATTGATATAAGACAGGCCCAGGCTTTCCAAGGCTTGCCCAGGCACTTTCTTTGTCAATAACCCCTTATCAGCACGTGGTTTAGATATTTACATACAATCCCCATGGGACCTGGCTGGAGGCAGGCTCTGGAAAAGAATGAAGCAGCTCAGGGGAAGTCCCCATGTTAAAGGCGACTAAACTAGGCTGTTCAGCATCTACAGAAATGCAAATTAACAGGAGGTTTTTGCATTTGGCCGAAATGTTTTTTTAATTACGTAATTACAAAAGAGGGGATCATGATAGTAGCCATTCTAATCTGCGCAAGGTAGGCAAAGCTTGTCTAAAAGTGGCCCCACATTAATTAAGTTAAGGTTACATCAAGAGATTACACATGTACATATGTAACATAAGACAATATAAATTAATAAAACACGGACATACATATGACAAGTAAACCACATATCTTTATCTATAAATAATTTAAATACTGACCTACTGCCAATACTTTTTAACGAGGAATCTAACGAGCTCCATAATTTTGATCCCTCGTGTTTTATCGTGGTTACAGCAAGTTTTAATAATACGTGATGAAACCCTGTGGAAATCAGTACGTTGCCTAGAATAATAGTGATGAACATTTTCATTTTTCTAAACATAGAACAAATCGATTTGGGCAATCTGGTTTTTTTAAGTTGATGCATGAAGGTACCAGTTGAAGACGATATATATCTTGTACTTTTAACACTTTACAATTAACAAAAAGAGGATCACTACGATCCTGAAAGCTTGTGGAGTTGATTATTCTTAATCCACAGCGGCTAT